CACACACATACACACACACACACACACACACACATACACACACACACAGAGGCATACGTAGGTAAGTTTGGTTGATATATAGTGCAAACGTACATACATGCAAATGTGCATACATGCATGCATACACACATGCATACGTACATACACACATGCAAACATACATGCATGCACACATACACACATGCACACATACATGAACACATACACACATACATGCACACATGCACACACATACATGCAAACGTGCACACATACACACATACACACATGCATACATACACACATGCACACATACATACATGCACACATACACACATACACACATGCAAACGTACATACATGCAAATGTGCATACATGCATGCATACACACATGCATACGTACATACACACATGCAAACATACATGCATGCACACATACACACATGCACACATACATGAACACATACACACATACATGCACACATGCACACACATACATGCAAACGTGCACACATACACACATGCATACATACATACACACATGCACACATACACACACGCACACATACATACATGCACACATACACACATGTGCACATACACACATACATACATGCATGCCATTATTCTTTCTTCATATTCCTCTCCACCCTCCATGGCTCTTTTCTCGCTGGTCTCTCTCCTAATAGTCTGTTTTCATGTCATGTATGTTCCATAACAAAACACACACACACATACACACACACACACATACACACACACACACAGAGGCATACGTAGGTAAGTTTGGTTGATATATATGTAGATAAACAGATATGTGGGAACACATACATTATTCGTTTTTATGAGTTAGGCTTATTTTGTTTAATGTAATTACCTCCAGAAAACCTAAAAATTACCAAGTGACCCAGCTCTAACACTCCTGCTTCTATAGCCAAAGGACTGTAAGTCAACATGCCAGGGACCCTTGCACATCCATGTTTAATGACATAAAGCAACTTAGAGGAGAGAGGTTTTAGTTTAGCTCACAATCTCAGGGTACAGCCCATCACTGAGGGAAAGTCAAGACAGGACCTGGAGGCAGCTAGTCACCTCATACAAGGGCAGAAGGAGAAGGTTACATGAATCCCCAGTGCTTCCTCTACTCAGACGGCTCAGCACCCCAAACCCAGGAACAGGAATAGCGCCATCCAGTTTCAGGCTGGGTGGCCCCACATCAATTAAGGCAATCAAGACAATCCCCACAGACATGCCCATGGGCCACACTGACCCGAACAGTCCCTCAGTGAGACTCTCCAGGTTATTCTATGTTGCCCTAAACTGACACTCAAAACGAATCATCACG